TATTTATTTATTTATTTATTTATTTATTTATTTATTTATTTATTTATTTATTTATTTATTTATTTATTTATTTATTTATTTATTTATTTATTTATTTATTTATTTATTTATTTATTTATTTATTTATTTATTTATTTATTTATTTATTTATTTATTTATTTATTTATTTATTTATTTATTTATTTATTTATTTATTTATTTATTTATTTATTTATTTATTTATTTATTTATTTATTTATTTATTTATTTATTTATTTATTTATTTATTTATTTATTTATTTATTTATTTATTTATTTATTTATTTATTTATTTATTTATTTATTTATTTATTTATTTATTTATTTATTTATTTATTTATTTATTTATTTATTTATTTATTTATTTATTTATTTATTTATTTATTTATTTATTTATTTATTTATTTATTTATTTATTTATTTATTTATTTATTTATTTATTTATTTATTTATTTATTTATTTATTTATTTATTTATTTATTTATTTATTTATTTATTTATTTATTTATTTATTTATTTATTTATTTATTTATTTATTTATTTATTTATTTATTTATTTATTTATTTATTTATTTATTTATTTATTTATTTATTTATTTATTTATTTATTTATTTATTTATTTATTTATTTATTTATTTATTTATTTATTTATTTATTTATTTATTTATTTATTTATTTATTTATTTATTTATTTATTTATTTATTTATTTATTTATTTATTTATTTATTTATTTATTTATTTATTTATTTATTTATTTATTTATTTATTTATTTATTTATTTATTTATTTATTTATTTATTTATTTATTTATTTATTTATTTATTTATTTATTTATTTATTTATTTATTTATTTATTTATTTATTTATTTATTTATTTATTTATTTATTTATTTATTTATTTATTTATTTATTTATTTATTTATTTATTTATTTATTTATTTATTTATTTATTTATTTATTTATTTATTTATTTATTTATTTATTTATTTATTTATTTATTTATTTATTTATTTATTTATTTATTTATTTATTTATTTATTTATTTATTTATTTATTTATTTATTTATTTATTTATTTATTTATTTATTTATTTATTTATTTATTTATTTATTTATTTATTTATTTATTTATTTATTTATTTATTTATTTATTTATTTATTTATTTATTTATTTATTTATTTATTTATTTATTTATTTATTTATTTATTTATTTATTTATTTATTTATTTATTTATTTATTTATTTATTTATTTATTTATTTATTTATTTATTTATTTATTTATTTATTTATTTATTTATTTATTTATTTATTTATTTATTTATTTATTTATTTATTTATTTATTTATTTATTTATTTATTTATTTATTTATTTATTTATTTATTTATTTATTTATTTATTTATTTATTTATTTATTTATTTATTTATTTATTTATTTATTTATTTATTTATTTATTTATTTATTTATTTATTTATTTATTTATTTATTTATTTATTTATTTATTTATTTATTTATTTATTTATTTATTTATTTATTTATTTATTTATTTATTTATTTATTTATTTATTTATTTATTTATTTATTTATTTATTTATTTATTTATTTATTTATTTATTTATTTATTTATTTATTTATTTATTTATTTATTTATTTATTTATTTATTTATTTATTTATTTATTTATTTATTTATTTATTTATTTATTTATTTATTTATTTATTTATTTATTTATTTATTTATTTATTTATTTATTTATTTATTTATTTATTTATTTATTTATTTATTTATTTATTTATTTATTTATTTATTTATTTATTTATTTATTTATTTATTTATTTATTTATTTATTTATTTATTTATTTATTTATTTATTTATTTATTTATTTATTTATTTATTTATTTATTTATTTATTTATTTATTTATTTATTTATTTATTTATTTATTTATTTATTTATTTATTTATTTATTTATTTATTTATTTATTTATTTATTTATTTATTTATTTATTTATTTATTTATTTATTTATTTATTTATTTATTTATTTATTTATTTATTTATTTATTTATTTATTTATTTATTTATTTATTTATTTATTTATTTATTTATTTATTTATTTATTTATTTATTTATTTATTTATTTATTTATTTATTTATTTATTTATTTATTTATTTATTTATTTATTTATTTATTTATTTATTTATTTATTTATTTATTTATTTATTTATTTATTTATTTATTTATTTATTTATTTATTTATTTATTTATTTATTTATTTATTTATTTATTTATTTATTTATTTATTTATTTATTTATTTATTTATTTATTTATTTATTTATTTATTTATTTATTTATTTATTTATTTATTTATTTATTTATTTATTTATTTATTTATTTATTTATTTATTTATTTATTTATTTATTTATTTATTTATTTATTTATTTATTTATTTATTTATTTATTTATTTATTTATTTATTTATTTATTTATTTATTTATTTATTTATTTATTTATTTATTTATTTATTTATTTATTTATTTATTTATTTATTTATTTATTTATTTATTTATTTATTTATTTATTTATTTATTTATTTATTTATTTATTTATTTATTTATTTATTTATTTATTTATTTATTTATTTATTTATTTATTTATTTATTTATTTATTTATTTATTTATTTATTTATTTATTTATTTATTTATTTATTTATTTATTTATTTATTTATTTATTTATTTATTTATTTATTTATTTATTTATTTATTTATTTATTTATTTATTTATTTATTTATTTATTTATTTATTTATTTATTTATTTATTTATTTATTTATTTATTTATTTATTTATTTATTTATTTATTTATTTATTTATTTATTTATTTATTTATTTATTTATTTATTTATTTATTTATTTATTTATTTATTTATTTATTTATTTATTTATTTATTTATTTATTTATTTATTTATTTATTTATTTATTTATTTATTTATTTATTTATTTATTTATTTATTTATTTATTTATTTATTTATTTATTTATTTATTTATTTATTTATTTATTTATTTATTTATTTATTTATTTATTTATTTATTTATTTATTTATTTATTTATTTATTTATTTATTTATTTATTTATTTATTTATTTATTTATTTATTTATTTATTTATTTATTTATTTATTTATTTATTTATTTATTTATTTATTTATTTATTTATTTATTTATTTATTTATTTATTTATTTATTTATTTATTTATTTATTTATTTATTTATTTATTTATTTATTTATTTATTTATTTATTTATTTATTTATTTATTTATTTATTTATTTATTTATTTATTTATTTATTTATTTATTTATTTATTTATTTATTTATTTATTTATTTATTTATTTATTTATTTATTTATTTATTTATTTATTTATTTATTTATTTATTTATTTATTTATTTATTTATTTATTTATTTATTTATTTATTTATTTATTTATTTATTTATTTATTTATTTATTTATTTATTTATTTATTTATTTATTTATTTATTTATTTATTTATTTATTTATTTATTTATTTATTTATTTATTTATTTATTTATTTATTTATTTATTTATTTATTTATTTATTTATTTATTTATTTATTTATTTATTTATTTATTTATTTATTTATTTATTTATTTATTTATTTATTTATTTATTTATTTATTTATTTATTTATTTATTTATTTATTTATTTATTTATTTATTTATTTATTTATTTATTTATTTATTTATTTATTTATTTATTTATTTATTTATTTATTTATTTATTTATTTATTTATTTATTTATTTATTTATTTATTTATTTATTTATTTATTTATTTATTTATTTATTTATTTATTTATTTATTTATTTATTTATTTATTTATTTATTTATTTATTTATTTATTTATTTATTTATTTATTTATTTATTTATTTATTTATTTATTTATTTATTTATTTATTTATTTATTTATTTATTTATTTATTTATTTATTTATTTATTTATTTATTTATTTATTTATTTATTTATTTATTTATTTATTTATTTATTTATTTATTTATTTATTTATTTATTTATTTATTTATTTATTTATTTATTTATTTATTTATTTATTTATTTATTTATTTATTTATTTATTTATTTATTTATTTATTTATTTATTTATTTATTTATTTATTTATTTATTTATTTATTTATTTATTTATTTATTTATTTATTTATTTATTTATTTATTTATTTATTTATTTATTTATTTATTTATTTATTTATTTATTTATTTATTTATTTATTTATTTATTTATTTATTTATTTATTTATTTATTTATTTATTTATTTATTTATTTATTTATTTATTTATTTATTTATTTATTTATTTATTTATTTATTTATTTATTTATTTATTTATTTATTTATTTATTTATTTATTTATTTATTTATTTATTTATTTATTTATTTATTTATTTATTTATTTATTTATTTATTTATTTATTTATTTATTTATTTATTTATTTATTTATTTATTTATTTATTTATTTATTTATTTATTTATTTATTTATTTATTTATTTATTTATTTATTTATTTATTTATTTATTTATTTATTTATTTATTTATTTATTTATTTATTTATTTATTTATTTATTTATTTATTTATTTATTTATTTATTTATTTATTTATTTATTTATTTATTTATTTATTTATTTATTTATTTATTTATTTATTTATTTATTTATTTATTTATTTATTTATTTATTTATTTATTTATTTATTTATTTATTTATTTATTTATTTATTTATTTATTTATTTATTTATTTATTTATTTATTTATTTATTTATTTATTTATTTATTTATTTATTTATTTATTTATTTATTTATTTATTTATTTATTTATTTATTTATTTAT